GGCTGCCCGCGGTGCCCTTCCCGTAGGTGGGACACGAGCAGAAGGTCCAGCTGGTGGCCGACCGGGACCACTTCATCCGAACCCTCAGCCTCAAGCCGCTGCTCTTCGGTAAGTCCGCGGGGCGCCGCCGGGAGGGCCAGGGGCTGCCAGTGGGTGGCCGCCTAGAAGCTCGTGTTGGCCACGTGACTTTGTTTTGAAAATGGCTGTTCCCAGCCCCCCCCTCCCCCCTTTTATTCCAGCTCAAGGTTTCCCAGAGTGAAGCGCCCGCCCCCACCTCCGTCACGGGGGTAACTTTTCCACACTCGCCTCCCTGGCCCCTGTTCTCTGCAGCTCATCCTTCCTCCCTCGCCGGACGGGGCAGTGTGACCCTGAGGCTAAACCGCCCGCAGACACCCCTGTCTCCGTCGGCTGTCACATTCTGTAATGGGGCGGGGGAGGGGCTGATAGCGGCCCAGCTGACCTGGGCCCTGTGGTTTGACGAGGAACAGGCCGTCCTGTGGATAAACGGGTGACCACCCGCCCCAGCCCCGCCTCTGCTGCCAGCTCTCAGCTTCTCCCTGGGCCCAGGCTTGTGCGCAGCCGCAGCAGCAAAGCCTTGCCGGGCGGCCCGTCTGGAACCGGCATCTGGGTCCCTTTCTGAGCTCTTGTGCTGGGCTCCAGGTGATCATTCAGATCTTACCGCCTGTCTGGGAGGGGGGTGTAGACACCCCTTCTCAGGGTGGAGGGTGAGAAATGAGGCGCAGAGCGCTGCCGCTGCTGGCCAGGCCATGCAGCTAGTTCCTGGTGAAGGGGCGCGGTGTGCTGGGGGAAGACAAGGCCCTCCGAGACCCCCAGGCAACAAGGCGGGCCCAGACCCATGCCCTGGCCCAGCCTTGAGACCCGCTGTCCCTGGCCACTGCAGGAGGGAGTTGGTAGGGAGATGTAAGCAGAACATCTGAGCTCATGCCCTCGACCCGGAGCAGAGGCCGGTGCGGGGGCGGGGGGGGGGTGCCTGGACCCGTGAGGATGACTCGTCTGCGTGCTGTCTGAGGGGAAACAGGTTACTGGTATCTTGTGAAAGGGCCCCTGAAAGATGGTGGCTGCTGCTGTTACTGCTGCTCAATGTTAAAGTCTGTGCCAAGCACTGTGTTAGGTGCTGGAAACACAGCACTGAACACAGTAGGCAACAAACAGGAACACGTGAAGCTGGCATTCAAATGAGGACACACAATAAGTAAGCTAATCCTACATCAAAACCCTGATGTGCAAATCCACTGAACAGCCGGCGGACCGGCACATGACTAGTCGCGATGACGTGCACTGACCACCAGGGGGCAGATGCTCAACGCAGTGGTCAGTGCGCTCCCACAGGGGAGCAGCAAGCCCAGTGGTAAGGAGCAGCGAGCAGGCAGGCGATAAGGAGTGAGGGGTCCTGGACTGCAAGAGGGCGCAGGCCGGGCTGAGGGACTCCCCCGCCCCCCAGTGCGCCGCTAGTAAATAAATAAATATACATGTGTGTCAGGTGACAGATCACAGACAGGCAAGGCAGGATTCCAAGTGGGGCTGGGACTTCACGGGCGGACAGGTGGGCCTCCCTGAAAACGGTATTTGAGCAAAGACCTGTAGGAGCTGAGGAGTCAGGCCAGGTGGCTGTCGGGTCAGACTGAGCCAGGCCGAGGAATGCTCCCCCATTACCTCCAGGCTGCCAGGACCAGACGAAGTGTCTGGGGGGTAAAGTGTAGGCAGAGTTGTGCTTCCTGCCCCCCCTCCCCCCGCATCCTGGAGCCCGGCTATACTCCATTCAGATGCAGGTTACGTTACCTGAAACCCAAGGACTTCACTCCTAATCCCGACCCCCAGCTTGTTGCATCAAAGTCTTAGGCAGAGTGAGGAACCCAGGCCCGGGTCCCAGTAAATGGCAGGGAGCAGGCGAGCTGTGACCGCAGGCGAACTGCCTCCTTGGATCACGAAGGGCGGATTCGCAGAGCTTCCTGCCCGCGCTCCTTTCCCCCAGACTCACCTTACCTTTGAGTCTGTTGGTGTAAGACGTTCCAGGCTTTACCCAGAAAGCCCTGGGGCTGGGTGACATGAGGCTGGACGAACGAAGACAAGTTAGTGACTAGGGGATAGGATGTCCAGTTGTGAGGGAAACCCCAGGGCAGGGCTGTCCAAGGAGGGGCAGATCCTGAAAGCTGTGGTACTGGATGACTCCATGGAAGGAAGCCCGCCCCAAGAAGGAGCAGTGTCTGTCTGTCCTCTGTGCCTGCCTGTCCATCCGTCCGGTGTCACGCTACACAGGCAGGGAGGCCCGAGGGGAGTGGGCCGCTGTGGGCCCTGCCCTGCTGCTCTTGGCTCCTGTGACCCACCAGCCTGAGTGCTCGAGATGCCAGGGTTCAGGACATAAGCTGGGCTACGGGGACTGGGTTCTACCCAGGGCACCTCCATCTCCACGGGAGGACCCGGTGCAACCTCCCTTTGGGGAACATTTTGTTTCCCACCCTTGTCGCTAGACTAGTGGGACCTGGGCTACAAAAGGTCCCATCCCAAGCCCTAGCCAGTGGGTAGAGCATCGGCCTGCAGACTGAAAGGTCCCAGGTTCGATTCAAGGGCAAACGCCTGGGTTTCAGGCTCAATCCCCGGTAGGGGGCATGCAGGAGGCAGCCGATCAGTGATTCTCATCATTGATGTTTCTCTCCCTCTCCCTTCCTCTCTGAAATCAATAAAAACATTAAAAAAAAAAAAGGTCCCATCCCCAGTTCCTGGCGCACACCTGCTTGACTGGTGTTTCCCACGGGTTTGGACCTTCCCGAGTCTCTTCGGTTCAGAAGGGAGAACCTGCAGTTCCCAGTCGTCGTCTCGCTGGGAACATGGTTTTCTTCCACGTGGCTCACTTCTCATTTTGTAATTAAATAACAGGCTTAGGCCGCATCATGCCCTTCCCGAAGTCTCCAAGATTCCTCATTTCATTCTAAGCCTCATGGGGTCCCCCAGGCTCGCTCCCCTCTCAGGCCTCATCTGCCACCTCGACTTGCTCCGCACTGATGCTTCCGGGGGGCCTCCGCCTGTGCGGTTCCCTCTGCCCGCCTGTCCCCCCTCCGAGATCCCCTGACCCCAGACTGGTCTTGAGGGGTTCGAGGTGGCGCCACCTGCCGGGCGCTCCCAGCACTAGCAGCGTCGGGCGCCGGCTCCTGCGTTTACTTGTATCATTCGTGCCTCTGCCCGCGCGGGGGTCTGATGGGCCGGGGCCGGGTCCTGGCACCCAGCAGCCCGGCACTGCCCGCTCGCCCGGGTGGCCTCCACCAGCGCCCTGGGGCCCAGGGGTGGCCGAGGGCGGCGGCCCGGGCAGATGACCCTGCGGGGAGGGGTGGGG